TTAACATAACTTATGGCAAGGAATTAGAGAATCTTCCGGGTTGTGGTACAGCAGCTCTCTTTGGGTGATTTTATAACCACCACATTCACCCAGCATGAGAACCCTCTTTAACGTTTGGGAAGAGGTTAATTCGGCTCAAGAAGCATGCAAGGTCGATTCACATTCATCAGGTTCATTTGACCACGATTTTATGATATAAGAGAGCACAGGAGAGACTACCGAACCGACTGGCCGGTTTATTTTAGAGCTAGGTCTATTAAAAATAGTATAAGCCTTTTTGTTTACCCTAGATGATTTCGCCCATCCTCTTTAATTTATGGCGAAGTATGTGCGATCACACTTTCCAGGTAACAGATCTTGCAGCAGTAAAGTCCGCCTAAAGGCCAATTTCAGGCTAACTTTGGTGACCCACTAAACGGTTTGCAACTGATGCTTTCAGCTATAGCATCACCTGGTATCTGGTTCAGGAAGAAGAATCAGCCTTGACCCTAAAGTGTCATCGAAACTTTCATCTCTCCACCTAGGGCCTTTCCAAAGCCACTTTCCTTTGCGAGGTCAAGGGGGACGTAAGACTCTGACGGGGGACTTATCTTCGCGAGTCAAGATGATGTGGTCCCTGGGAGATTTTAAACTCACCCAAGTGTAACTTTAAGGGCCTGATTGAGAGACAGATTCCCTTTGCTTAATAAGTGATTTTCACTAAGTGGTTATATTCAATAGACAGGGTATTATTTACCCCATTCGAGGGTCTGTAGGTACCCATATATCTTATCCTATACTATTCCCAAAATGTGAAATTTTGTTGTGTATGCAGCATTTTCTTAAACGAAGATTAATCAGGTGGACTTTTGGGTTCCAAAATGCTTAAAAGCTTATGAGTAGTACAATGATACCCATTAGGAGCTTTATGGTTTAAAGAAAAAAGAATGTGCTTTGCTTAAAATAGTGACGATGTTACAGTTTTTGATTGGCATCAATTCGAATGTTCAAAGAAGAGGAAAGAATGTCAGGAGAGACAAAATCTCTGTCAGTTCGGTTTTCTCACCACAGAGTTGAATTTCCATCTAATCAGATACGAACTTTGAAGTTCACCTTTGCATAGCATTCGATCACTTTGGAATGAAGAAGGAAAGTGGACTTAAGCCTGCTAGGTTCATAGCCCACTTTCATTTACCGTCTCCCCAGTGTCTCTACTGTCCCCATTTGATTGTTTGATGCTTCGGACCGAATGGGTGACAACAACTTGGAGCTAGGGGAGAGGGCATTCAAGAAATGCAGAAAAAGAAGATACGGACGTCACACTACCCCCCTTCTTTCAGTTCATCTGGATTAAAGCTCTGAAGGGAGTTAGAAAAGGTCATTCGCTGTCCCATTTTCTCCGACTAATTCATCTGTCTCGGCTGTTTCCGAAGAAGCGAGTATTCTTGCCCAACTGTGAACTGTGCCACCTTTAATGGATAGATTTCAGCCCTCTTTGTCGTCCGGACTTCGCCTGTTTGTCTACACACACGCGGAGCAAGCACAGTGTTGTAGGAAGAGGTGAGCCCTTTCCAAGTGCAGATTGTTGGTGTGGGTGTGAGTGGAATAATAGGGCCAGGCTGGGGTCGTTTTTACTCCCAGAAACTGATCTTCCAAACACGTCCATCACCTGTGCTTCCAAGACCTGGTGACGCATCAGTCTCCATCCTTAGTGATGAAGAGAAGAGAGTCCATTAGATTTTAGGTCAGCACCTCTCTCTGAGCGATTTTCTACCACTGCCACCTTTAAATTTCTCCACCACCAAGACAACTAATTTGATGAAAGAGTTTCTGAATCCCTGAAACCGAGCTAATGTTGCATAAACCGAACAAGCTCAACTTCCTCGTCCATCAAGCTAAAGAGACATTTTATGCATAAGGATTCAAAATTACTAGAAAATAATGCAAAGCAAAATACGGAGGAGTATTCTGTCGAATCCTATTGAAATATTCATTGAAAAACTGCAGAATAACCTAGTTAGGTAGCGAAGCTGAGCAAAAAAATGCGCACAAGAAGAAGGCAAGAGTTTGATCATCCTTGGGATGATTTGCACAAAGCAGGGTGTAGAGAAGTCTAGGTTCCTTTCTCCAACCCCCCGAGCTACAGAAATAGGACTGCGATGGTTAATAAGATATCGTGGCCAGAGCATATTTAAGTGGCGGCTTTCCCTTGTATCCCCAGTCCTTCAAGAGACAGGTGGATTGGACTTGAGGGGACAGATAAGAGCTCTGATAGTAGAGCTAGACTAGGCGAAATGCAGTATCCATGCAGGCCTTTTCCATCTCCCCTGAGCTAAGTGTCACCACGACGGTGGAATTTGGGACGCCGACTCCTTCTCTGGGGTAGAAATGGATTTGCTTGTAGATGAGCACGTTTTTTGACTTCTCCAGCTGAGGAAGTAAAGAACAGGGTGGCATTCACAAAAGCTTCAAAAAAAGCTTGCCTTATAATGGAACATTTGCTTATTATCTGCAGACCAAAAGTTGATGCGGATAACTTACTTTACGGAGACCCGTAAAATAGCTAACCAAGAAAACTTGGTCGACTGATTGACAGCGGCCGAAACTTTTAATCTTCGATCATTAATTTAGAGGATTATTAGTGCCATCCTTAAGAAGGTGGTCCGAGGCGATTCGGATTGATTGGTGGAAATGACTCCTTGATAAAATGAGATTATCTTAAAGTAATCCAGATGAGGTAAAGATGAGATCACTTGAAGGGGCTTTGTACTTGTTCAAGGCGACCAGTTAAAAAATAAAGCACTCTTATCATGGAAAATGCTTCAAGGGTTCCAACTCTTCAAGTAGTCTGTAAAAATGTGGTGCGACAGTGGGCTCAGTGTTGGGAATAGGTAGACACCACTAGTGGACGGGTTAAGCTATGGACCCCAACAGAATTTTATCTCACTGGAAACCCTAAGAGTCATATTTGAAGCAATGTGCAAGCTGTGTGGCCTAGATTTACTAGAATCTCTCAATTTTACAGTCATTTTGTAGCCTTGGCGGTTGATGGAAACATCGTTTCTGCCAAATACACAGCTTAAATCAAGAATCAAAGTGTCATTAGTCGTCAGCTGTTTACAACTGAAAGTAAAATTCTAAAAAACGTTAACTTTACTTTTGTTGCTGCTTCCAACGCTGTGGCAGAGAAGGAATTCACCATTGGGCTGACCCTATCAATCCACTTATTATTCACACCACCAACGGCCAAGGCCACACTTGAAAGAGGCGCAGCTCTTTTACTTCTAATCGTGGAGAGTATGTTTGCCTTGTGAGGAGTGTGTATGTATCTAGTAGGTGAGGTGTAGTCAATAAAAGGCGTAGAAGAAAGACAAATTCGTCCTCGAGCTGAACTAAGACTAGTTAATTAGTAGAGAGAAGGTCCTGTACTCCTGTCTCCTTCTGTAGGAGGATCTCCTCCCACCCTTCTGTGGGATTGAGTGAGTGCTACAAAAGCATAGGTGGCCAGGCACTGTATTTTTCCCTTCATGACTTAAAGAAGCTAAATCTTCTTTAAAAGTGGAGTTAGCATTAGGCTTGCTTCCCTTTGATACTGAATTTCACACTTCAGTAGTATATGCCTTAATGACTAAGGCACTTTAAGGCTGCTTCTGGAGCAGTTTTACGGCTTTTATCACCAACAAAAAGCCACAAACCTTTATTTAATTACCCTTTTCTGACTTACTCAGGTGGGAGCAAATGTGTTAAAAGTGGGAAAGTATATTTGCTTAACTAATTAAATCCTTGCACTTAATGATCTCCCACTCAAAAATGTTATCGCGCTCTCAGTTTGAAATTAATGCGAGACATCGGCAGCCATTTGGATTCGCGCCATATCAGCGGTGGATTTCAAACGAATCTGGCTCAGCTAACCAAATTTTTAAACAAGTTAGATATGGAGGAGATCCTAATTTATAATTTATTTCAAGGGGAAGGGAGAGGTGGAGGAGATCGACGGGGTCATTACCTCACTACATCGTTGTGTAACGCCTGATATGCTAAGGCACAAATCCTTCTCACCAGTCTTCATCTTCATTTTTTTTCCTTTGTGAGAAGTTACTGAATTGGTAAGGTCACTTGGAAAAAGAGATATTTATTATCGTTTCCTTTACTTTTTTCAGGTCTCCGTCGTGTTTTTAGGGGTAATCCCATCCCTACTCCCATGAAATATTAACAAGCAGGCTAATTCAAACAAGAGTTGTCTCTTCTCTCATGCTACATGTCCTTCTGACTTTGATAATGAATTGTTTGTTCTGGGTGAGGGGAGGGGGATCAGACACTTCACCCTAATGCATCTACTCAATGGGGCATCTGGGTTTTTGGTAGAAAGACACGTATTTGAGGATTGACTCCGGCCCCCTGATACACCGGTAAGTTTTGCCTGATTTTTCGAATAGCCGCTTAAAAGCAGCTTAGAGTCAGAGAAGGATTTTTGGAACTGCTGCATACTTCCACTGAGTTAAGGCTGGTTTGGACTCTAAAAGGCGACAAAATGCGCCTTCCATTGATTTAATCTTCCCTTGTTCAAAACTCAACTCCAAGAGCCTCCAAGAGTAAACTATACGCTAGCAGAGTGTTCACAACACTTAGATGCTTGTGACGTGGACGCTAAAGCGGTGAAAGGAAGGAGGTAGGGACCGGAACCACTACTAACGGTATCCTATTTGACATATAAGCCTGCGGTCTTTAATAATGGTGTCGGAACTGAATCGGCTATAGGTGTACAAAATGGCATAAAATCTAAGCCTAACTGAATGTAAATCCGCCATGGTGGCACCGTAGGTCTTTTTTGGGGCGCAGAGGGTGAAACCTATTCTACCTGCTTTCCCACTTGACTCGAGTACTCCAGGGTTTGAGGCACTAGCACCGCAGACGGACACTGGATCCGTCAGACCTCCAAATCAACAAGAAAAGGAGGATTAGGTACATGAATTTATGCGTTTAGGTATATACAAAAATTCACATTTGAAATGACCTGTCAATCAAACAAAAGTGGCCTTGGGGAAAATGAGGGTCCTTGAGCGCGAGGCCGCTGAAGTATTGGAAGTCGTGGTAGTCAAGAGAGCTAATGGAGGGGTTGGTAAACCCTCGTTTCGCTCAACATCATCATCAGGGAAGGGATTCTTCATAAGTTCCAGACTGCCACTGCCACAATCTCCACCCTCACCTTCAGTAGCCGCGGTAGTTGTGGTACCGGCTGCGTAGTGCGACAAGCCGGGATGCGTGTTCTGATTCCGTGGCCATGAGGTGGTGACACTGGATTGGTAGCGAAGGTCCCAGACACCTGCCGGGTGATTTGTCTGATAGTAGGCTTCACAACTCGTTGTCGGTATGATTTTCCCACGGCTAGCGGCTGGATCCAGACATTGATAGTCGTCTGTGAAAGAGATAGACCTCTTTCAGGATCACCCTACTGGCCCGAGTTGCAGAAAACCTCCCAATTGCACATTATCGCATGAGAGATGGAAATGTATAAACTACTACTTGGCTCTGGGATGAAATGAGAGGGAATCAACTGTCCCCATGGTCAACTGAGACATCTCTGTGAATGGGACACCGGGGCCAGTGAGTGAGCAATCGCCAAATGTGCCATAGAAACCATCCCAAACCTTTAGGAGCATCACCTGTACTGTCACACAGACCGCTAACCCGTGAAAGTTCCCTACAAGCATGAAACCGGCCCAGATACAGGTCCGTATTGCCTTCGCTAAATTCCAGGCTTAGCATGCGACAGGTATAGAAACTTTTGCCTACCCTAACGCCATGGTGCCTTGTGTACAAAGTTCACCCTCCAATCTACATTTTGCAATCAGACTCTTTGTGTTGCAAAGGCCTTCTGAATGAACAGCCAAAGCTAAAGTAGGATTAATAAGATGAAGGACTGGCGAGAAATCCTACGGCACATTTATGGAACCATAAATCCGGGGCTAAACACCCATTTCTAGTCTAAACAACGACAATTGGTCACACACCTTAGTTGCGAGATGACGCACAAGGTGAGACTGCAGCTGCATCGGCAACATGTACAAATGGGGAGTAGGAAAGGAGGGTGTGGGGGTACAGATACATTCATTTATTATAAATTAGAGGAATGAATGCGCATACACGCACTCACGCACCCATGTTCAGCCTTTTTTCTGCCTTCTATTAGCACCTGCGGGAACAGCAGACTGAGAAGAGCTGGCGTGTTTACTTCTGTAAGCTAGGTGGGAACGCAGAATCTGGCTTTTTGATCATGGGTGAAGCCTCTCTCAGAGAGGTTATCTATAGCATGCCCCTCAACAACGACCTTTGCTAACTGGGTACCTGGCTGGCCACAACCTCCGCTTCTTCGTGTTGTATTTTAGCCCTCCGAAGCACTTCACCCTCCAAGAATACAATACTAACCATTTGCCTATTCTCTCTCACAAAATACTGGAGACGACCTCTCTAGACTAGCACAACGCATCGTTGGCCTCTCTTACCTTGTCCACAATGCGCCTGTTGTTGAATAGGTCCCACAACCGGTCTAGAGTTGATAAGTGATGTAGGGCCCAGGATGCCATAGCTGGTAGACTGTTGAATGGACTGTGAATGGGGATAGAGAATCTCATTCCCTAGTTGATAACCATCTCGATAAGGGGAGCAGTCGATCATAGCCTGAGGCACGGGTGAGAAGGGTATTGCGGGGAGAATGCGAGCTCCCTGATGAGGATCGACAAAGTGCCCCTCCAGTCGACCGGATGAGGCACTGCTGAGGTACTGAAATAAGCAGACAGGATTATTCATTAGATAGTAGATGTCTAAGCTTGAGGCTAAAAAGTTTTAACAATGACAAGTTTGACACTTGGACACTTTGAAACTAAATTTGGCCAATTTTGGCCGGCTCGGAGTTTGCAGCTTCCACGAAGAATCTGTTTTACAGGAGCGGAGAGTTAATTAGAATGCGAGATCTTTTTACCGGGTAGATGGATGGGAACAGGAGACAGAAATCTCTTCTCAAGCAGCAGCAGCAGAGGTCGACTTAATTGACTCCCACACCAGGGAAGTGAGTGTGCGCTAATTACTTTCCCACTTCGTTTGACGTAGCAAGAGGAAGTGTGAGAAGGACGTCATCCTCCCTGTCCCCTAGCTAATTTCTCCCCCAAAGTAGGAATAATGAGATGGGCGTTCTTTCCAAGGCAAATGGAAGGCCCCCACATTCTCGGCCTTACTTGTGAATGGGGGCAGATTTTTTTCTTATTCCAATGCTTCAAAAGGCGCCATCACGACTTGTGTATATGACCACACATGGACACACTTGTTTATTTTAAAGTCAATGCTTAAGTATAAACAGACACACGGCATGCATGTAGGCATCCACCATCTCCGAGAGCTAGTTCTGGCGCCTGCAAGCCAAATGAACGGGTCGAGATTCAACGATGCGGGTGGCGTGGCATTTATGCGTCATCCGTCTTCCATGGTGGTGGCGGCAATGATAGGGTGGGGGGGCCAAGATATTTGACACTATTACGATTGCCTTCTCTTTCTCTACCCTTCATTCTGCATTCTGTTGCCATCGCCACCCCCCACTATATCCGTAAACAGAGGCCCTCAAGGGTGTGAGGTTTAAGTGAAGTCACTAGGGTCGGCTCCGGAGGCCTCGCATTTGTGCACGCGTTAACGACTACTTCAAGCTCTACGCGTCGGTGAACTACTGATACCTGCAGCAGGGTGCGTGACAGCTACTCCAAGTAAATGCCATGAAGTGCCCAGTGCCGCCGTAGTTACCAACTACAACACCCTCGATTATCCCACGAGGACTACTAACTCACTAAATAGTCTAAGCCATGGACCAGTTACTATGCATAAGAGGTCTTCTCCACAGTCAATACCTGAACCTGAAGCCGTTATCATTGCTTGTACAATGCTGGCTAAAAGACCTTCCAGTCTATTGAGGGTGTTGCCCGAACGACGGGAAGAATATCAAATGACCATATATTGCCAGCGCCTCCAATTTCAACCCCTGACTAGACAGGTTGATACGTCTTTGGCTCCCATCCGTTGTTGAGACGATGAAGGGCTTGTGGAATTCTATAAGGTTGACCCTATACTTCCAGCTTCCACGATCCTCCATAGGGGGATAGTACTGTGACCCTTTTTAGTGCCTTGACTTGTAAACCCCTTAATTGACAAGTCTACTTAGAGCTAGAGAAAAGGACCACCTGAAAAGCAGATGTCGTAATTTTTAAGGCCAAGTTGTCGTGTTTATGTGAGGACACTGTTTACCCTTCTCCTTATCAGCACATTGTTTTCTTGTCCCACTATTTACTGCCATCCTGTTTGGGGGTCATAAAACCTGTCACACCTATAAACACACAGAGAGGATAGTGTTTACCTCTGTCGTTATGGCTCAAAAAGAGATTAAGAATTTAAAAATATCCAACTTCTTGGTTTGTGGTATTTAGTGATGGAAACACGATCGAAATTATGCAAGAATGGGGTCAGGCCGCAAAGGACCCGGCTATACCTACATGAGGTTGACGCCATATTAAATGATTTTGACACAAAAGAGCCAAAAGGTAGATTAACACCACAGCAACGGCACAAAAGTATATGTGCAGCTTGTAACGCGACGTACCTCTTCCGATCGGCACGGAACGGATCTTGGAATCTCTGATTCGCCTAGCTGTCCCCCAATTGGCGCCTGCTTTATTTTTTCGGTGGTTTTATTACCTAGACGGGGAAAAAGTGGGATAAAAGTGACTGAAGGGGCTCGAAGGAATGCGCGTGATCGCCACAAACCCAGGCAGAGACGATTTATGCGTCCTTAAAAGATGCCTCGACAACAGCTGACTTGGACAAATTCCAAGTGCTTTCGCTGTATTTACGCAAAAATGGGTAATCGTCAAGGCAAAACCGCATTTCACCTCCCCAATTATTTTTTTTGCAGAACTTGCCTCAATTTGTAGGGATTTTATCAACTCAAGCGACTGCTTGATGTGCATCTGAGGATTAATTGTATGTTGGTGACTTTAAGTCAAACCAGTACTTTGGAGTCTATAAAGGTCAAGCCTCCTAAGCCAGCGAGAACAACCTGCAGAAAGCTTAGTAGACATTTAAGTGAAGACGTTTTTAGCTTTGAAGGACTGTTACGCTGTGGTTGAGGAACATATGGCTTAAAATTCAATGTCTGAAATAATGTTTGCGGTCTTTGCTAATAACCTTTGCTGAGAGGAGACCTTTGTAAATGACAGCACGACGTTGGATACAAGCCCTCACACTACCATTGTTGCCAATTGCCTTGATTAACGGTGTCCAGACTGTGCGTCGGTCACAAGTTCATGTTATACCGCTTCAGTAGTACGACAACTTTTCTTGCTAAAACTGGCTAGTTCAGAAGTCCCGACCTGACCTGAACACATCAATCACACCGAAAAGGTCCATATGCGAGTTCCGGTGGAGCATATTCTGATCATTAGATGGTAAGCAATTATTAGGCTACAATTATAATGACAGCAGGTGTTTAGCAAGGGAGGTAGGCAAACTGTCGGCTAGATATACCACCGACACCTCTCTTTCCTCGCTCTCTCCCTATTTCAAGCCTCCATTATGCGACAAAGTGTGTGTGTGTGTGCGATTATAATGCCATACTACTACCACCACCACCGCTGCCGCCACTCATGATAATGCGCCTCGATTAGCACGTTCGCGCGCTTAAACAAATAGGTAGAGGCGGAATGGACTGGAGCGGAGGGAGGTGGGGAAGGGGGCGGGGTGCGAGCAAGAGGAGTTAATCCATGCCTGAGTCAGGACTTGGTATGGCAATTATTGCCGGAAGTTGATGGAGCTTTTAACTACCCCCCTTTCTGCAGAGAGTGCGGGAGATAGATAGAGAGGGAGAGGGAGGGAGAGGTTGGGTAGGCAGATGACTTGCTCCAGCTGATCAATGCACGCGGGAATACTCGAGAAGACTAAAATTGTGTGGTATTAATCCACTCACAAAATACATATTTTGATTTCTCGTCATCTAGACACTCAACAACTGACAACAAATGGACTACTTCCCTGCTTCACAGACTTTTAGACCCCCTTTTTTAGGGCTCGCCCCGTGCTGATGGTGTGAACTAGCCGGTTATTGCCCATTTAATTGCACCACTGATTTGCAAGTCAGATTAGAAGGGAATAAAGACTACTTAGGTGTCCAATATTGAAAGGTATTAAGTGCTTTACTTAAGAACAACCACCATGAGAAAAAACGAGATAGAATAAATTGCATTTATCGAAGGAGAAAGTGGACTGCAAATGCCTACTGGCTTGTCTTTTTCTACTTCTTCCCTTTTTTGGGGAGAAGTGAAACATCAACAACGGAGGACGTTGGCTTACCGTCAGCATTAATTATTCCTAACTAACTCAGTCGGAAGGGAGGAGTGGAGATGTGGGGTGGTTGCAGGGAACGATTTTGAGCAGCCTTTGCCTTTCCTTCACGCACGATAAAGATCACAAAACTTGAGTTTAAATACGCAGTAAGGAGGAAGAGGATAAGCCCTCCATTGGTTTAAAAAAGGTTTGCAAGTCACTTTTTAATTCTTGAAGGTTACACTTTTGAAATAGCTTTATATGAGACAGAAATGGATTGACGACTTTTCGAGGAGGACTCGGGGATGCCGCATCGGTGGTGGCGGTGGGCGGATCCCGTTTGGGTGGAGGCCAACCGTGATAACTTGGGTTTGATGCTACACTTTGTTGGTGAGTCGGTGTTTGGGACATGCTAGAGTATAATCGAACTGCCGCCTGTTTTTGGTCAATCGTCACCTTCCAGTCCTAAACAATAACTACTAACGGGGTGAGATGGAGCTCCACTGAAAGGTCGCCCATAGATCTCAAACCTATGTACGAATTTGAGGATGCAAGACTTCCCTTTTCTTACTTTGATCTTAGGTACATATCACTGCCAAAAGCGAACGACGTAAGACGTACAGACCCCGCACACTGTGGAAATGGAATATATCTAGCCTCGGATAACATCTCTATATCTAAGTGGATTCCTTCCTGATGCTGGTACCCTGTCGGAAGAGACGAGACTCAGCATGGCCGACCAGATCTACAATGTTTCTCTCCATTCTAGTTCATGATTATCTTACGCCCTGTCTTGTGGACGGTTAGGCCCAGACAACCCAAAGAATGACCACTGCCGTCACAGAGGGGTAGAAGAATGGGAATATGCTAAGTAACGAGGCAGTATTTACTTTACTACAAGGGCTCTTCATTTTCTCCTGCTTATACTTTTTCTTAACGACATAGTGGGTAAGTGCTGCCTTACAGCTGCCTCCCAGTGCTGTTCGTTTGTTTATAATAAATCTACAATGCCCATAAAGTGGAAAGATTCAAGGCAAATCGACCGGGAAGGGTGGCTCTCTCCGTACATACGTACTGCTTTTACTTACTCCAAAGTGAGACGACTTAGTTAGGTTAACCGAACTGTCGTCAACGCTACTGAGATCTCCCTACGTATCGCAACAAAACATCGGCTTGTCAAAAAAGGGACAATTATTTCCACCCCTCTGTTCAGCCATAACTCCAGTCACTTTTTAAAATGCAGCAACCAAAAATGCGCGCCAACTTAGTGAGGACGAGACACAAGCGGCTGTGAATTTTCCGCCATTCTGACTAGAAGAGAGGAGGAGGGAGGCTTCCTCACCGTACTATTTATGAGGCAGCATACTCACGCAAGCCCGCGCGGGTGGGCTACGCCTTTGTTTCGGGATGTGCGACGAATGGAACTTTTCTTAGGGCAACTACTTTAAGGTGCGAGCATTCAAAGGAAAAGAAATCTCCCATGTCTCCAACTTGGATAGGAAATTAGGAGTCAAAAGCAAATCATGGTATTTTGCCAATCACTACATGGATGAAGATGCTTGTTAGAAAACTACCTGTTCTTCAAGTTGTCTTCTCCGTCGAAAAAAGCGACCTAGGACAAATGGCACGCTATGTAAATATGCTAAACCTGGCTCTTTGTCAACATTCTTGACAGGTTTTTTCGAAAGCAAATCTTATCTCGTATTTTCTGGTTTGTTTACATTCCTGTAAGCCCTCAAACTGGGCTTAAAAATATGTAGATTTTGCCTTAACCTCTGTAAAGTATTTCCTGATTTAACTAAACAAGACCAAATCAGAAGAAATAAATTGCAGACTCCTTGCTTGTTGAAAGATTAAAAGGGCTTCCTTAGAAGTTCCTAGTTATTTGAACTAAATAAATCCACGAAATCTAGTTTTATTCTCTCACACATAATTTGCTTAGATCACGCAAAAGTGGAATAGCATGAAGGTCGCTGAAGTCATTCTTAGTAGGGTACTCAAATCAGTTCTCAACACCAAACGCTATCATGTGTAAATCCGGTTTTAAACCATTTGCTGACTTTATCCTTCTTGTTTTTAAATCCAACTCTAATGTACACTACCTGCTTGTTTGGATGCGGGTTGACAAGATCCTTTTCAACGGCAAATCCGAACTTACCCTTCCTCGAAATGCAGATGGAACAGGAGGCGAAGGCACCAGCACTGCCGCCACCACCTCGCATAAGGAAGACAATTAGCAGAGCGACAAGAACAACCACAGCGAAGAAGACAGTGAGACCGATTATGACTTGCTCCACAAGGGAGTTACGACCCCACCCGAGGCGCCTGTCCTTATCGCTGCCACCGAAAACGTCCAAGTGGTCCGCGTAGCCTACTGGTGGCAGTCCGGCGCCACCGCTAGCACCTCCGTTTGCCCCTCCGCTGTGCTCTGATGCAACGCGCAGCTGTACCAAATAAAAAATGCACCACAATGATCAGGTTAAGGTGCGATTTTAGTTATCTCTTCTTAGTGCCCTTAGGCATCATCCCGATACCGGGCCAAAACATTTGTTATCGTTACCTTACAAGCTTGTATTGTGCCAAAGGATGCAGACCACTGCTATTTCCTCCTTGTATGTTGGCTAAGCACCTCTAAAAAGATGATAGTGTCTATTACACGGAAATAATGCACTCCAAAAAGGCAACTTTTTTGTCCTGAGAATATCGGCCAAGTTCCATCACACCGATGCCTGGTATGAACTGCCTTAAGAACAAATAACACCGAACTTTGGCAGCAGAGTATGCACACCCTAAAAAATGTATCCACCAGTTTCTGTTCTGTGCGATGTGCCTGCATTTATAGGGGAGGGAGCTAAAATCTACTTATGAGAAGGGATAGAAGGAGAGGAAATTTTGCTATACTTTATCTCCCCAGCTCCATCCCATGCTCCTCCTCCTACTCCGCTTGCTCCCGCTGCTGCTAGAAACACCTTTTTGTTAAGATGCACGAAAAGCAGGGCTAAACCTTTGCCTACCCTTACAGTAAACTTTGCTTCCTGTCTTTTTTGGCCATGTTTAACAGGCGTTTGCTTACCCGTGAAGTTTAACTTAGTTTAGTCACGCACCTCAAGGGAGGGGAAAAACAAAAAAAAGGTGAAAAAAGGAGGCAAAAGTGAATACAAATATGCATGAACTTGCTCCTTCTCCTAGGTGGTGTGGTGTGGAGATAGCATCAGGCACTTTTAAAAAGTCAGGCAAATAAGTTTCGCGTAAAGAATTTTTTTTCTTTAGACGTGGTGGGAGGGGGTGGAGGGAACAGGGGTCGTTTGGTTTGGGTATAACAAATCCACCATTTTCCTCGGCCTACTGACACTGACTGCATATGCTAATAAGACTGGTGAGTTATGCAAAATAATCACTTGGCAACATATTCTCATGACTTTCCGCACCTCTTGTTGGCGGCTGACTGTCTCTTGTCAACCTCATCTGTTGCGGTACACAAATGCAAAAGAATGATGTACTCATTGGGCCGCATAAATTATAACCACTACCTTTGCCTCATGACACGATCTAGTCAGAATCTCCTGATCCTCTTCTGAGTTGAGAAAGAAGATAGAGAGATGGAAAGCAAGCAATACTTCCTATTCAGAGGAAGCAGAAGTCTATTTGACTGCTTTCCACGGCAAAGAAGTGTGGTTGGGTGTTCCATTTAGCTTCCCCACTTGCCTTTATGTATCTAGAGGTTGCGTGAGAACCACTACCTCCTATTTGCCCTAACAGATTTGAACCCTAAGCAGCTGCAAATTTAGATTTTACTTCTATTTTGGCCTCTAGAAACACACAAGATAGCTTCGACCACTTTCCTTTTAATCTCTGCTTTACTTTGGAGCTATCTATCTCGGAAGTGACTTGCCAAATTCGGAGGGTATGGCAGGAATGAAATCTCTCCCCTCCTGTCCCCCTCCTAAAGTGCAGAATGAGGCTGCGTGGAAGGTACCCCGTGTGGAGTCATGCGTTTTCATTTTCCGACTCATTCATTGGTCACAATTTACTCTGAAGAAGAATTCCTCCTACACCTTCAATGTATATTATCTGGAGTGATTTGATCTCGCTCGTGGTTGTTATTTGGCCTTGGGAAAGTGAAAGAGGTTGCATCTGCAGTCCACTACTTATGAAAAGCATGGTTTATTTGGGAATAACTAATGACAAGCTCTCGACAATCTTGAGCATGGACGAGCTACTACACACAATACTTGTATTCATAGGTGAGGATAATAATGGATCATGCCTGCAATCCTGCGATCCACTCACCTGAATTTGGAGGTTGGGGAAGTAGGAGCACTGCTTCGGTGTTCCTGCGTCGCAAGCCTCCAGCTTGAGCACATAAGTGGGATGAGCAGGCACCTCGCTGGAGTCCTCCTTGATCAGGCCAGCGCCTGCAACATCGGAGTGCCATCCTCCTCTGCTTTCATCTTTTTTCATCCCGCTATTGGTGGTCGAAGCAGTGGCAGCAGCACTAGCTGAGGCGTAGATGGCTTTCTCAATGGTGCGTCGTGGAATCTGCCCATTCAGGTAGAGCAAACCCTCCACTGGAGCAACAAAGAAAATGCCTCCAGCATTTCCATCAACAATGGAGTATGTCACTTTGCCGTTTTCACCCTCGTCGGGATCTGTAGCGATTATCTAGTCAGGGAGTGAAAGAAAAATAGACCTAAAGTATTCAGGAGATGATTTAACAAGAATTTATCATTTTGCTTTATTGTGAAGTAGTGATGTGGATCATTGGCACGTTCGCCGGCAAGGTCTCATGGGAAAATCAACCAATAATGGACAGGTATGTTTCTAAAACCCCAATAGTGCCATTATTATCGGACCGAAAATATTCTATCCTAATTTTTTGTTCTAAACATGACCGGCACGTCCGCAACAGGCTGTGAGGTGACTGATGGTTAGCAGAATCTGGTAGTGAACATGTGTCACATATATGTGACCCTGGTAGTGAACGTGCCAGTTTATAGAATTTTTTCTCCAAACGGAATCTGTTTGTCATTCTATGAAAAAACTAGACAAACATTAAACATTTTAAAGGTTGTGTTTGCTAGGCAGATGGTGCTTACAAGGCTTGGCTGGCTTCCAACGAACCTTCCTACTTTTCAGTACAAATCAGCTTTTAGGAATTTTTCACACGTTCCTGGCAAATTATTGCCACTTTTTATCTCTTTATCCTCCAAATTTAATTTGTATTTAAACACTTCGAATATAAATTCCTTTTAAAATCACTTTTTTGAACAACCATAGCCTAAATCCACCGACTGTTGGTTGTCCAAATGAGGGAGAAAGCCTTTTCCTTTCATTTGCTTCAAGTGAATAGACTGATTGCATCTAAATTAATTACTTCAGAGCTTTGTTTAGAACAAAATCCTTTGTGTAATAACGCTTTGTTTGCAGATCTTTTGTACTTTGATGTCAAAAGGGAAATGTTGTTTGAGTCTTCTAACAACATCACAGCGATAAAAGCAGGCAATAAGAGGGGGAGAGAGAGACAGCAAGGCATAAAAAAAGGCCAATTTTTTTTACTTCTTTGTCTATAAATCGCACAAAGATAAGTTAAATATTCGGAGATTTATAAAATCTCCTCTTAGAATATTAAATTTGAAAGTTGCTGTCTGAAAATGACTTCAAGTGGGGAGTATTGGGGCTGCCAATTTTGGTGGCACCGACGAGTCCATACTCCACACCGGCCCTCGGTTATCTATCAAATGCAATGAATTTTTAAGTCGCGGACTACCGGTTTTTTATATTCACACGCAGCTGCACAGAATGCAAACAATGGCAGAACTCTACCCTTACAGGAAGTGGCTGTCAAGGAAAGAAGACCCTTATATTCTTGTCCGCAGATCAACACAATAACTGTACCTTAATTAGCCTTCCTTACTTCCTGTCCTGGACTAAGGCTTCTGACCATTAGGGGCAGTGGAGCATTAATGCAATCATCCGGAGGCTTATCAACAAATCAGTCAGTGAGGGTCGGCGGTCGGGTTAAAATCCACCCACGACATTCCGGAAATCCCTCTCTACGGTATACTTTAAGTCATACTGGAAGGTCCCTGGTAAGGAGCAATTCGCAACGCTCTGCTGGCAAACAATATAGGGTAAAGGTAAGACAGTTTCTCCATGAGAAGTGTTATTTAAAATTTATAAGACTTCCGCAGCCACAGGAGTTGGGAACGGCCCTTAAACTTTTTACCGCATACAGGCCTCTTCTGGATACCTTCTTGCCTCATTCTCACCCCCTCGTAAGACATCTGCTACCTGTCGAAAAAAATAAAATTCCCAGGATGTGAACCGGACTGCAGATGGAAAATATAGCTAGACTAATGAGCTCCAATGGAAGAAGGGGGGCGTTAGAACACACCTGCATCAGAGAACGACCCGGTGTGGCAGTTGGATCCAGGAGGATGAGATGACTTGTTGCATTTGGCTGTAGAAAGGTAGGACGGTTGTCGTTCTGATCACGCAGATTAACCACTACTGAGGTAGCCACCGTATGCACACGACTTTTAGGCGGCGTCCAACGTTGATTTAATGAGGCTTCTACTGAAGCCTCGGGCAGAAATCCATCACTTACAAACACTCGGAAAGTGTAGGTACTCTGTTTCTCACGATCCAAACGCTCCCTAAAGTGGAATAAAGGGTTTGTTCTTCGAAAACAATGTTAAAAAATTCGAGTGTTTTTTACTGTAAAATAGTTTTGTTACTCTGATGGTGTGGAGGAATCAAATACCACCTATTCGGGACCCTCTCACGAGCATGGAGGGGAATACACTCGCCCTTCAGTCAATAAGGTAAATGTGGAGCTTCGACAAGAAAGGGTAGAATGACGGGAAGGGTCGGAAGAAACAAAGAGGCTTTAAGAATTACCTTGATCAGATAATACTAGAAAGGAATATTTTACACCACACAAAATCCAGATAGTGCTACTTAGATGCTACTTGTAAACAAGTAGTATGTTATCTCGGCAAATAATTACGGCTTCTTATCGATGGTCCCTCATTTGATTAGCTTGACTTTAAAAAAACTGTAAATCTCCCTTGAAAAGGACTAATTTTTTGCGTTATTTATTGCCATGTAAAGTAATTCGGTCTTTACTTTGATAGCATGGAAGTAACTGTTCACGCCCTCCTCGGATGGCAATAAAGCCAGTTTATACCCTTAGGCCTTTGAACTTCTTCAGGGACAGATTAAGAGTTATGCAAGATTATATTCTCTAGTTATAGATTGCTGAAACCTCTCTAGACGTTTGTTACGACCACCACACCTCACAAGAGGTAGTGCACTACCTCAAAGTTCTACTGCTCAATAAAAGTCACAAAATTCAAATCTTCTCTAACCAAGAATGTCTTCCATCCCCTTTTTTACTAGCATAAACAATCAATCTGTTTACGCCGCGATTTTATGGTTCAAGCGGTAGTTATCATGTGGTTATAAGGACTACATCTTGCGGGTGTGTGTGACATTGGCAGCGAATCTATTGACAGTGTAGAATGTGACGTTGAAGTGGATTTTTCACTTCACGCCGATCTAAAAATCTATTTATGCATTCATCTTTTGTCGACTTTTATGCGGTAGGACGTCTGGTGGCGTCACTATGCAACATATATTGCCACCGCTATGGCTACTACCGCCACCGAAACAGATGTCGTTCTGGAATGGCTGCATGCCGATTTCACTGGGGCTGTTCACTGGTAATGGTGGCCAGGGCTGAAGACCCTCCCCCCAAACCTAACCCAACTGCTTGTACAGACGCCAGAATTGACAGAAGATAGGAAATGAAGGAAACGGGGGGTAGAACCGCGACCAGAAGCGGGGCATTTATCACTGCCACTGAGTTATCGAAGGTATTTTTTACCCACCAGAATGCCCTGCACGACACACGGCACGCCAACATTTGTTCCTGCATGTACACACCGCAGACAGGCGGTGGACGCTAGTAATTCGATTGTTGAGAGCCCACTAATTAACCGAGGTCGGACAGAGTCTGCCTACCTCCGCCTTTGATCTAATTATACAACCAGCCCGTCTTGGCATGTAATGAGCTCGGACACCATAACACGCCATGAAGACCTTGTAGTCCCTTCAAACCTTGACTTCCGCGATCGGACCAACTCCTCCGCCTCGAAAAAGGCTGAGCCGGGCTTTCACATCTCCATATCCCGCTATGTAGAGGTCAACATTTGCTTATTTACCAAGCAATTAGTCTCACAGTAGTGTTTTGAAGCCTTTGTTAAGCTGGTCAAACAATCGTGGAGATTATTCATCAGCACTGATGTGCTAAATTGTCATTCCTTACAAAGCGTAGTAAATAGAAAAATCGTTTATTCTGCTTACTAGCTACTCAGTGTTTACACTAGCGGTGACGCAGGAAGCTCAACAAATTAGAAATAATTGGCGAAAAGCGGGACACATGAGGGACAACTTGATGTTGCAGGAATGAATGATTTATCCGTCAATCTTTATCTCCATAGTAATGCGAGGAAAGGTCCATTTACTTAAACAGTCCAATCTCTATTTATCTATGTTCTTATGCCTTGCCAGGTTGGAGAGAGGAAGGGCGGAGGGAGAGAGTAGATTCGGGTGTAACATGAAAACCATTAAGCACACATCCACACCCCCGTCACCCAGTCCTCACCGAGAAATGCATTTTTCCTTGCTTATTAAGTGACTGGCATCGGAGGGGAGGAGGAATTACCCGCGGTTTTTACAGTGCATAAAAGGTATCCACTATTCTCTAGAGTTAGTCTAACTAAGCAACACCCTTGACTTAACCACCTCATAGGTAAGGTGTGATTGGCTGAGCCGCTTCTCAAAGGAAAAGAGGTGTCTGTTGTGTACAGAACTCAGAACCTTGGGTGAACACAAACGTTTTTGTGGAAAAAATGACTACCACACTACCTTTTGACTCTCTACTGAACGAATTGACAAAGGGATTGGAACAAGGTGAGAAATAGCGTCAAATGATAAGAATGCCCCTCGCGACTAGTGTCCGGTCCTAGGGAAGCTCGCATGAACCACGGAGGAGGACTACGGTCTGTATGACAAGCCTTCAGTAATGGCGTGTGACCCTTCACCTTCGACAGAGCTACGGTTAAACAAACCCTTAACCGATCGGAAGACACTTCGTGTGGAGTACAGACCTTTGGACCTCCTCCTGACAAGTCCAGGAGGGGCAACGTAAACGACAGAAGTTCCAGAGGATACCACCCTCCATTCACCTCGGAAGTGACTATAGTTGTGCAGATAATGGAGGCGCCAAGGAGGTGGCAAGATTATATTAGCCTTTTCTATCACCTATAAGACCGACCTAATCATGCAGTCAGTGCTAATCTCTTCTATACACATACTTAAGGCATAAATCGGGAGCTGCATTAGTGGTCGTGTTGACCACCACCCTCCTCCGACTGACCAAGTAACTATGATCGGTGGCTAAAATGCGAGGGGATTGGGATCTAGTGAAGTGTTTAAACCACATCTAATTAGGATGTATCGAGGTCAGTAGCCGAGTTCAAACCCTTCATAAAAGAATCGGAGGCAATACTGTTGCAAAAGCATGATTCATGAGTAGGACAACCTGTGCGGGTGGCTTGACGGTATTAAAATGACATCAAAATGAGGGAGGCATAAATTTCTATGATGCTAATTTTTCAGAACTCCAGTATTTTGACCTCTATGGTAGTAGGATGAAGCTCAGTTCATACCACCTATCCCACCAGCCTTCCTCCCTCTCTGTCTGTCTGGCTAATAATAACTCAATTTCGGAGGCAGCTCGGAAAACTTGTCAGTAAACTAACCTCGTGGTGATATTTCCTGAGTACTTGTCAATTCTAAAGACGGCAGCATCTGGTTCACTTCCCAAAGTGTATATAAGTCGATTGGTTGACGCTTGACCCGATCGACTGCCCAGGGCTCTGAAATTACCCAAATGTGGCCAACTGAATGCCTCATTTCCATCCATCGTCTCCTCATCGTCCGCATCCACTGCCGTGATCTGACCCACAAATCTCCCTGGGGATTCATTCTCGTCAAGTGAAAAGGAGTAGCCAGCCTCTGGAACCAACTGGTTGATAAATTGAGGTACATTGTCGTTCAGATTCTCTACATGCACCAACACCTCTACATTAGTTGACAGTGTTGGATCACCGTGATCCGAGGCAACTGCAATGAATTTGTGCCAACTTTTAGCTTCTCGGTCAAGTGGAACTACGGCGAATAGAGCACCAGTGTTCTGGTCAATCGAGAAATACGACACAGAGGATTGATCCCGAGGATCTGGCTCCAGATGGTATGAAATTCTTGAGTTTTCGCCAGCATCCACATCCCATGCGTGTACACCACTCTCGCCATCTTGACCGCGAACAGGTCGTTTGTCGTTCAACGGAAAAATGGCATCATCAACCTCGGCTTCTCCATCGTTTTCTTCAATGAAAAACTCGTAGAAGGGTTTATCAAACTTTGGAGCGTTGTCATTGACATCAATGGGGTTTATGCCCACATCCTGTTTGCTTACGTGACCTGCTGAGTCTCGGCAGACAATGGAGACCTCGAGACGTGGAGTTGTCTCCCTATCCAGACGTGCATTCGTCATGAGCGAATACTCCCCCTTTCCCGAAGTGGAAGGTGTGGAAGTAAGTTGGAAATAATCAGGAACACTTCCCTTGAGGTGGCATTCCACTGTATCAAGTCCGTCCATATCGGGATCAATGACTTCAACCAATGCTAAAAGTTGTTCACTGCTTCCACTCTCTTGAGCTGTAGTTTCAACAGTGTTGGCACTTCCTGCTGGTCGCTCTTTGGGTGGATGAACTGGGTACACTTGAATTCGTGGTGCTTCGTCATTTGTGTCGCTTATTTGAAGTTGGATTGTGGTTCGTCCAGTGAGTGCATAAGGCGGACTAGCGCCATCCACTGCCTCGACACCAAAGGCGATGAGAGTTGAGGATGGCAAATTCTGTTCTCCGTCAATTTTGTCCACATTTAACCGACGGAGGATCTTTAGTTGCCCACTGGGAGTAATTTCAAAGAAGTGTCGAATCACCTCAAGCATGGGTTGACCATTACTCTCAAACCTGTAGGTGAGTTCAGCGTTTGGTCCGCTATCCATATCCTTCGCGTGGAGTTGAAGCAAAGTTCTTCCAACTGGTGCATCTTCGGATAGGATGTCCACCTTGTAGACTGGTCTCTCAAACATCGGTGCATTGTCATTCACATCAGTCACATTTATCACTAATTTAAGCGAGCTCTGTTGAGGTGTCGGTGTCCCAGCATCCCTTGCCACCAAGTTGAGTCGAATTATCTCCTGCAACTGTTCCCTATCAATCAGAGTTTTTGTTCGCAAAGCCAGCTTTTGATCACTGGCCTGATGTGGGAGCAAAACACCAGGAATTCTTTGAGCTGCTGGGCTCTCGGAGTGCTTGATCAACTCGAACCAACCCAACTGGGATCCACTTTGCCGATGACCTCCACTCAAGCCACCGTTTAAGTCATCATCGACTGCTTGAAGGCTGTAAGTTATTTCACCGTTCAGCCCAACATCCTCATCCTCTGCCAGCGGTAGATAGAGAACCGTGCCCACGGGATCGCCATCCCGAAGAGATAGATGAAGTGTTGAGCTGTTCCACGAAGGTGCATTATCGTTAACGTCCATAATTTCAATCTTAATGTTGAAAATTTTATCACTGCTGGCAACGCGGAGGGAAACAATACAGTCCGAGGGAGGCGAATTGGAAGAAATTGCATCGTAGTCGTGGAATGTGGAACGGAAAGGTAGAATACGACCTGGATCCTCAATATGGAAGATGGGACGTGTTGAGGTGTCATGTTGGAGACCACCGGAAACCACACCCTTGGTTGGACAAATGGCTTCTCGATCCACTCGGCCAGAGACCACCAACTCCAGTCCGGATTGAGCGCGTTTGACAAAACTGAAACTCGATGCCCCTGGCGACTTCCTGTTTATAATCACCGGCAGAGCATCGGGGTTCAAGAGAAGGGAGGCGAGGTCTGAATTAGTCGCGACAACCTTTCCACTGGAAACCTCTTCTTCTAGTCGAAAGGTGAGTTCTGTCGCCAGGTTCAGGTGATGAAGGAGAGACAGAAGAATCCAAGCCACCAGGCAATCCATTTGTATAATTAGTGCGGTTCACAGATGGCTCATCCCACAATTCATCGGGGCGAAGATATCAATTCTGAGTGGGGGATATTAAAGAAGAAAATATTTGTATGTGAGAACCGAGAAATGCTATTGTGGCCAGACTTATGAATGGTGGTGTGGTTATGCTATTGTCTAGTTCCTTAAATAGGACGGCAGTGCCTGAATATCTCTCTCGCTGATGTTGTCAGGGGTGAATACCTCTGCCGTATGACCACCATACATCACTCCAAGATGAGTGAGCGGTGACGCCAAACTGAGAGAAATGGGAGGGTGGGGGATGAAGGAAAGGTGAGAGTGAGAGCGAGAGAGAAGATACTAGAATGTGAAACGCGCACTTGACATCGACAGTCGGTCAAAGCTACCAAAGGCGATGCCAGGTGCAGAAAGCGCTCTAGTCCAACAGACACACACAGAGGCAGGGGAGGTTGGATGACCGTTTACAACAGACCGGACCGACCGGCTATGCATGTGTGTATGTGCAGGTACACAACGAGGCGATCGAATTCTAAACAATTCTTAGTACCACGACGAGCTCTAAAGGCAACCGCTTTATGTGATTAGCGCCGGTTTACAGGTTCAAAGTCACCGGCCTCCCACTGGATTAGCACTGCGCTTAATGGCGATGGTTTACGATCTAGAGGGAGGGAATGAAGCGGGTGGGGCGAGCAAATACGAAATTATAAGTTATTCATAAATTGATTTGCTACATGTTTTGTCGTGCGATTATTGTCCACCTTCCAGTCCTCCGTGTTTATGGAGTATGTAGGGGAAGGTGGAGGGGGGGGGGGGGAGGAATAAAAAGCAACTGGAGATTTTATGGTGTACCCTAATTACAGACACACTTCCATCGCCTTGTTAGTTCCACAAATGATAAAAAAATGATTTGTAATTTTTCTTAAGAGATAATTTTACCCTCTTAGTCGCCTTTCCGATGGAGGTGTCTGATGACCTGGCATGGCTTTAGCTCTGTCAAGTGTTGTCAAGTAATGACTTTGTAAAACTTTGTCAGAACTGGCAAGGACTCATAAAGTGAAAACTCAAACAGACCGAATAGGGGAAAAAGGATTCTAAAAGCTAATTTTGACGGAAACGTAGCCAAAGAAAATTCGCAGCACAAATATAGATCGTCCAGGACTAACTCGTGTCAGGAGTAATGCTTCTAGATGCTACTTGATTGACAGAAAAATGGCAGCAAGTGATGTCATTTGATAATATTCACTTGTGGAATGTATCTTTACGCAGATCTGTGAAAGTGAGAAAGAGCGTTTTGCCTGAAAAAAAAAACGTCTCTTAAGTTGCATGAATGAACTGCCGAAAAGATCAAACCTTTCGATAAGATTGGGGTGACTTTACTGGAAAGGAGGAGACAAAAAAGGTGTTGTTTCGCAGACAACACCTTCTAATTGGCCAGATATTAAGTTATATTTGAAGTTTAAATTGGCCCTGCAGCTACAAGAAGGGGGAAGAAGTACACTTACCTAGATGGATCAAATAGCAAGACAGAGCGAGAGAGGAGAGAGATAGATGTGTAGGGCAAGGCGGACTGTAATATGATACGATGCCTGCAGAAGGAATGGTCGTGCAAACTATTAACCTTCCAAGTCGTCTTGGTGAAGCCTTCCTCCCTCGTGCTACCGTTCTGTGTGCGTGCGTGCGTGCAGCCGTCCTGGACATGCCCGAATCAAATTCCCGCCTGCCTTCCACCAATCACACACCACCTCTCCGAACGCACAGCTGACCAATAAAATCGAATGACGCATAGCTCACCGCCTTGCCCCTCCACCCCCGCGTCCAGCGTGATGCCTTGTTCTTTGAAGACGGTGAACCAACTGACTAGCCTGTCTTGGCCTTGCGGGCGGACTTTCGGTCGAATTCGTAGGTGCTGATTCTCAGGCCTGCCAAGTTATTTCATTCTACCCACTTTTCTTATCTGAACCTGGGATCTCAAACCCGTAACATGTGTCCTTTATTAATTCATAACCCTTTGTCCCAAGTAAACCCGCTAACCGCTTGGTGGCGATTGAAAGCACGGTAGACATGCAGTTTTCTTGTTCGGTTCTGGCTCGTATTTCACTTTTCGACCACAGCCGCATCTAAATGTACCTGTTCAGTACCGCAAGTGGAGACAGAATTATAGACGGAGCACTCCATCCCCCCCCCCCAAAAAAGGACTCTATAGGAGTCCGCTCATTAGCTTCATGTGACAGGTTCATGTTCTCCATCCAGTCAATCAAGGAAAGACTAGGAACGGCAGTAAACAGCCATTTTAGCTACCTGTGCATAGACTTTTGCTGACTCCGAAGAAAATAAACTTTTCCAAAGTTAATGTCCCCAAAATGCACCCTAAAGAAGATTAGAAAAACAAGTAATGAACTTTGTTTTGCTGGGGTAGCATTCTATTTGCGAAATATCGTGTGGCAGGAAATGTGGAAGTTAAGGGGAGAATGGAAATAAAGAGCATCTTAGGCGAAGAATAAGCAAATTTGGTGTCAGTTTTGCTGACATTTGTCTTTTACCAATTAGCACATTTTGGCAATGGACGAAGTTATTGGTAAGGCAATAATTAGATTTGCCCTTTTCCTGTGTCACATATGTGTGACGTGTGCTAATTAAGTACTTGCTACATCAAACCTTGCAACAAGCGGTCTGATAGAGTTTAAAACAAGTAAGTAGATGTAGAACAGTTCCATTTTCTCTGTTTCTTATAGAGCCAAAGTGGAGCAGGTCTTTCTTAATCCATGGTGACCCATCTTCCTATAAAGGAGGAGGAGGAGGAAGAAGAGGAAGAAAACACAAAGAGGCATCAGTGAAGTAAAGCGTACAGGTGATACCACTTGCCGAACTTTTTAAACAATCACTGTGACTATTTAGCTAAACATAACATTTGTCCGGTGTTTAGTGAGGTCCCCTAAACTGTTGTCGAGGTGTCATAATCCGCCTGACCTGCACACCATGCCCCCTCCGCTTGATTAGGAAAAAAACAATGCAAAAACTGACTGTTGCATGTAGCTTAGCAGTGCCTTGAGGTCGTCAAAAAATATAGTTGCGGTGAAAAACAAAAAAGGAGAGGTGGAACTGACATGCGCTGTTTAACGGGTACTTTTGTTGGGGAGACAAAAACAGGGCGGGAATAAACAAGCGCCATTTTGACCGTTGATATAAATGCCACCTGAAGGGTGTATGCGATGGGAGTTAGTGAACTTTTGAATAGAATAAACAAATAAACAAAGCTGACTCTACAGTCACTAACACGGTGGTCCAAAGGGCGATTTTTCATGTCTACTGGACTTCATTTCCCTATTTCACGCGAGTTTAGCAGTTAGTGGTGAAAGGCGCAATTTTGACTTGGAGATGCTATAATTTCCCCCTGCTGTTTCCTGCCCCCGATTTGCCAAGTTGCAACTTTCCTTTCAGTGGTAGAGCTCGGTCCAGTAATATGAATGCCTTACCAATGTGGATCCAAAGGTACCGGAAGAAATAAAATGCTCAACAGGAAATGTTTCAACCACCGAAACATGTATCTTCAGGGGACACTACTGTAGACACGGTATGACAGCAATTTAGAAGGACGGCTCATTGTTGGTGTACGAAGGGACTAGAAGGTGGTCATATTTCTAGCTGGAGGGCCATTGGGTAGGGAAGTTAACACAATCTGTGAGAAAAGAAGCCCATGCGGTTGGACAATTGAATTTCCAAGAAAGAGGAGATGTTTAGCTTAATTTTTTCCCCATTTGAAGTGTTAGCTAAGAAAGGATTTGGTTTAGATTCCCCCCACTTTTCCAGCATTAGCGCAGTAGTCTTCTGGCCAATCAAAAATCTGGAAGATGGAGAGAGATGAATTTTTTAACAGGTAACAGTGTATACATTGTAGCAACTCTATACCCACGTATGTCTGGAAAGTAGCGGAACCAAGAACTCTTCCACCTTTGAGATTTACAGTCCCATTGGAAGCATGGCGTGGCAAAAGTCCGTGCCTATGATCTTCAAGTCCTTCTCTTCAAGAAAAGACTCAGAGTTTCAAATTAGTGTCGGCTGAAGGTGGATCCAGTTCAAGTGAAGGAAAACCTTAAATCTTTAGGGCAGTTACTAGCCTTCACCCTTACAGAGGATGTGGGTGCTTAAGACGCACCACAGAATGGTTGGAATACCTGATGGTGGGTGAGATCAAGCCTCAATGGAAGGCATGGTATAGAACCATATACAGGAGTCAGAGAACCTATGATTCCCTTCACCACCACTTTTCTGGTAGGCATGTGTCACAACCAAAAATGACTGACGTTCTACGTTCGGGAAACGTGCTTACTGTAGAGCTGGAACGTTGTCCGGTCCCTGGCACCATCTTCAAGTGGATTATTTCCTGATACTGTTGACCAGACGGGAGAGACGAGACTCAGCATCATCCTGTCTCGTGGTTGGTTAGGTGCAGCAAAACCAAGAAATGGTTACTGCCTCAGCAGAAGTGCTGCCGGTAAAAATGCAGGAGGCAAGCCGAAGAGAACAACCCATAGTTAATAACTGTATAGGTTAGCTACGAGGACCCTCCATCTCTAGTGTCTGTACTTTCAACTTGATCTCATAATCGAAAAGCTATGCCGCTAGCCTGCCACCTCTTTACACTGTTATGCTCCGTACGATTGCAGGGAGAGGCAGGGAAGTCACTAGTCCTTTATAAGGCGATGTGAAACATTAAAGTTCTCTGTTCAGAGAAAATATAACCAAAACTGGAGGCATGTACCTCAATTCCACCATGAACTTCCTCTATGGCTCCCTGAAAATGAAAAAAGCACCGTGAAGTAGACATTTTGGCCTTGACAGATGATCGGACAGTATTTGCAGTAGTGGAAGGAGATAAGACTTGTCAAGTGAATACCCAAAACAATGTAAAAGGTAACTTGGTACTGTAGCACTTTTAGATTTGGTCATTTCAAACACTTCGACACTGAGAGGACTCTTGTCTTCCAACTTTGGAG